TAAATTCCCGGGTACTTGTTGATCAAGGTACAGGTACGCAAGGTGAATGGCTTCCTTGCTTTTTTTTTCCAAAAATTTTGTTGAAATTAAATAAACAGTTTGTTTTTACAAAGTGATATCAGTTACTGCTAAGTAGCTAAATGCAGTTCATGCGGCTTGTATCAGAGTAGGTGGTTACAGCTGCTCTCTCAAACCTAGGTTCATCCCGTGGAGTGGCTTTTATCCGTTTTGACAAGCGTGCAGAAGCGGAGGAGGCTGTCAAAAACCTAAATGGTCAAAAGCCACCAGGAGCCTCAGAGCCAATCACAGTAAAATTTGCAGCCAACCCAAACCAGGTGAAGAACACACAGCTCCTCTCTCAGCTCTACCACAACCAATCCCGACGCTTTGGAGGACCCTTACACCACCAGGCACAGAGGTTTAGGTGAGGGAAGAGCTACATACATATAAACTGAATGGTGCTGATGCTTGAAATGTTACCATTTTTATATTTCATTGATTATCTAAGAAAAAAAAAAACAATAATCAGTCACGTTATCATTCTTAGTAACAGCAAGTATGCTAAATACTCTCACTTTCAGGTTTTCTCCCATGGGTGTCGATCACATGAGCAGCATGGGAGGCGTCAGTGTCCCTGGAAACTCCACCTCTGGCTGGTGCATCTTTATCTACAACCTAGGCCAGGACGCAGACGAGAGCATCCTGTGGCAGATGTTCGGTCCCTTTGGTGCCGTGACGAATGTCAAGGTGATCCGAGATTTCAACACCAACAAGTGCAAAGGCTTCGGCTTCGTTACCATGACAAACTACGAGGAGGCCGCCATGGCCATCGCCAGCCTGAATGGCTACCGGCTTGGAGACAAGATACTGCAAGTGTCCTTTAAGACCAGCAAGGGCCACAAGTAGAATAAGCCGGACAATCAGGTGTAGAAGAAAGCGGGAAGTAACCCATGTCAGGCTTTTATTGCAGAAAGCTTAAGTTTTCAATGTTAGACACACCAGTTTCAGTTTCATCATATTCAGAGTTAAGTGACATGTTCACTCTTCTGCACCTTTGTAATTGTCTCAAAAGTGTCTAGGGTTTTCTTTTCTTTTCTCCATTGTTGTTTGTTTGGGGTTCAAGGACACTCAATTTTAATTTGGAGTGGATGGAGAGGCTAAAATCCCAAATTACCACCAACATTTTTTTGTGAAACTTATCTCAAAAACTAAAACCCTGTCTATATGTGTTGCATGTAAAGCTGTAGGAACTGCATAAAGGAGGCAAACCAATGATTCTTAGCAGTGCACTAAAAACAAACAAATCAGAACATTGTAAAAGATCCCAAGTGTGAACTTTTCAATGAATGATTTGGTGTAAAGATAGGGTTAAAGACTGCCCTCCCCCTTTTAATGAGACAGTTTTGCTGCGGAAGAGCAGTGCTCTGTCCTGGTTCCTCATCACAAGTAGAAATAGATGCCTTAAACGATCATACAGTGGACATCCAGTAGACCTTTTAACTACTCACTACTACAAGTCAGTCTAAGAGCATAGCACTTTTAGCCAGCCAGCTTTAGGTTGCTCTGTATATCAGTCTTTTTGATGGTAATCTATTACTTCTGTATACCTTCCAGGCAGGTTTAAGAGTTCTTAAAAGAAACAGTGAGCCCTAGAAGGGAAATGTTTGTTTTGTTATCCATATGTAAATTGTCTTTAATTATAAGTTGTTTGATGCGAGTTGCAAATGAACCCCAGTCAGTGAGTCACAAATTAAAATGGACCAAAGGCAGGGAGAGATACTGATAACCTCGCAAGAGTTTTTCTAAGCAGATGTTCAAGATAAATATTTTGGAGCCCAACTGATACTGGATTCTCGTTGGCCAATGTTTGGTTTTTTTTTTTTTTTTGTTCACCATAATCTGCAGATACTTAAAACTTCTGTGATTAAGCTGAGATTTACAGGTATCAGCTGAGCTCTAGTTATTAATTTTTTTTCTTTTGTTCTTTTGATGAGGTACTAATTATTTACACATAATACTGATTCTTACTGAGAGCGATGCCACTAGCTGTTTGCTGATCTGTTGATTTTTGTTTTGTTTTTTTCCTTTTCCTTTTGAGTTAATTTTCTTTTATTTTCTTTTGATTATATTTCTTTGTAGATTCATACAGTTTTGTTACCGTATTAAGTTACAAACTTGTTTTAACGAGTGCTTATCTCGAATGGCCTTTGTTATGGATTTCAGTTTAGATTTAATTTTCTTCCTTTCTTTTGTTTTGCTTGTTTCCCTTTGAACATAAACCATTAAATTTTATTTTGTTTTGCTGCAAGTTTTGTTTGGTTTGTTTGTTTGTTTGATTTTTTTTATTTACCCTTTTAGAATTGTTTTTCAGTTTTGTTTTATTTCCCTCTGTAGCAAATTTAGAGCGCTCCTAACACTTATCAAGCAAAAGTTTCTTCACTGGAAGCTTTTACACTTTTGAGATGTTAACAACTTATGGACCAATGTAGGTTGAGAGGATTTGATGCTACTTAAACAAAACCGATATTTTAAGGCAAGTAAGCATCTGTTAGATGTTTTCCACAATGATTTTTGAAACATGACACAAGTTTAACTGCAGAAGAACAGCAAACTGAATCAGTCTGTTGGCACTGCTGATAGTTTTGCTGCATGTAGTTAATCCGATTTCAGTATCATCAATAGACATCTGGCTGTATGAAGCTGCTTTTAATATCTGGCTGTTAGTTTTGTATTCACACTAAATTGTCCACTTGTCAGTGTAGGTATCTAATGAAACTAGTGATTGTACACAAGCTAGTTTCCATATTTTAACTAGAAGTGTCAAAGATTTAGGCTTTTAAAACCAAACGCACTGCTTTGATCTTTAATGGAGATTACTTTTTACCACATGGCTTTGTTCACCTATTAGTAAAAGACTCACCCAGTTAGAAAAGAACTATGTCCACCTTTGTGTATGTTTCTTTAAAAATGCCGTTAGCATCGGTGCTGCAGTTGTTCTGATTCAAGCTCAGCAGGAGTTAAAAAGCATAACACTTGGAGATGTATTTCTAAGAATATACTTGGCTACAAAACTTGTTCAAAATTTTTCAGATTCTGTTTTAAAACTGTTTTTCTCCCTCCCCAGCAATAATTCAGCTGACACTTGAGAATATAGTTAAAATTGTCTGGCCCATCATAAAGGAATGCTCACATTGTGAGCTTGAAACTTTGGTCTTATTGTGCATCTTGATTTAGTATCTCCATGTTGTTATTATTGTGTCAGGATCCTTAACTTTGTGCAATATTTCATGACTTGCTCAGTGCAGGTAATAGACATTTGTTATAGTCATCGACTGTCATTTTGGGTTTTTTTTAAAATATATAAAATTTTCTATTGACGTTACTGTGTAGTTATGTTGGCAGTCTAGTTTGGTTTGCATGAAAGGTGCAAGTGCGTTTAAGGGGCAGTGAAAATAAACTGCATTCCGCCTTAATTTATAAGAGGAAATAGTGTATTTTACATCAGAGGAGGCGCATTTATTTATTTGACAGTGTTTGTGGTCATACTTGATACTTATTGCAGTGTTTTTAATGGATTGTTTTGTTTTCTTGGTTTTGAACACTTTTGACACTAAGCTGAAGTCCGTTAAATGTCTTCTAACATTTCAATAAAAACATGGTGGCTTTAAAAAAAAAAAAAAAAAAAAAAATTAAAGGAAAATTTAATGTGTATTTAGAAGCTTGTTGTGGATTTGATCTACGTGATTATCTTGAAAAAAGATGAGTAGATGTGCACTTGCACTTTTATGTACATGTTACTGAAGTTAGTGTTGCTGTGATATGACAGTATTGTTGCACATTCTTGGAAATCTGGAGATGTGATTTAATAGTAGACTTGACATGTAGATCGGAGTTGGAACCTTCTGCAACCAGATGGTGGGGACAGTGAGCAGAGTCTATCCTGAAGCTTATTTTTTCTGCAGCTCTTTGTCTCAGTTTTCCTTCAACTTTAAAATTAAAGCCAAAAATTGAGTTTTCTAAAGTAGAATATGAATATACAATTTCAGACACCTACACATATTTAAAACAAAAAAAACAACAAAAAAAACAGCTTCTTCGAAATGGCTTGGAAAGGAAAGAGAAAATTGAAACCAGTCTGGCTATTCTGTTTTTAGTGACTTTGGAATGCTAAAAACTCTTTTATTCAGATATAAATAGCTAAGTTGTAGCAAATTGTCATTTCAAGCAGGACCCTTTTTCTGTTTTGAGACTCGCATCCTTTTCAGAAGAACTCGCACTTGTGAGCGATGATGTTTGAAAGCTAGAAGTGAAAACTTTTCTTGGCAGTGAAATATGGTACAGGATGACCAGCATACAAGACAGTGCGTGGGCTCATCCTGAACAACAACCAGCTAGAAGAATGCCAGAAATGGTGGTTTTATTTTACGTTTTTACTCCCCAGGCCTTGGTTTGGATGGATATGGTCCATTTTGAATTCGAATTACCAAAACGTAAAGCATTGTCTTTGTCTTTTTGTTATTTAAATAATAAAAATTAAACCAAAATGCTGAAATGGTGTTTGTGGAAAATTTAAAGCACATCCTTACTGCTTCCACAGGAACTAAGACGGTAAGCAGCTCTGTACAAAGTTTTGGCAAATTGCTGGTCTTGGGGTATTCATGTTGCCAAAGAGGAAAGACCTCAGCAATGATCTTACAATGATCTTAGAAGCAATTGTTGCTGCCCATCAATGTGAGGATGTCTGTCAAAATCCAACTGTTAATGTGTTTAGAGTGTGGGAATAATCCCTGGCCTTTGATTATATTTTTTTATTTTTAAGACCTAAGTTGTGCTCCTGAGCCACTAATTTTTGCTGCCCTGTACCAGTAATTTTTTCAAGTGACTGCATCTTTGTACATAAATCAGTGCACTGTTGGATCATTCAATGCTAATTACCCCAGAGGGAGCTTTCAGTCACAAAACTAACAACTGGCCTTTTTGTAGACAACAGAGGTTTTCTAGAAACTTACTAAATCTTGCCCTAAATATCATGACAGCTTTGATCAATTATTTTGTGCTTGTCAACTTTCTTGCATGAAATATTCTATAAAATCCAACTAAATTTCAAGCTAAGTGTACAGAATTATTTATTTGTCTTAGGAAAAAGGGGGGAAAAGGAAAGTTGAGCACATAAATTCATACATAACAATTTTTTAAAGTCATTGCTACTTAAGGTGGTTATGCAAGCTGTTGAATCACTGGGTGCACTTAGTTTTTCACACACTGCTTCTGCATTTTGGTTTAATTTTTGTTTAATAACACTGTAATATGCCATGTTGTTCATCAGAGGTTGTATTCAAAGAATTTTAAGATCTCCTGAAGGACCAGATTATGTAAAAACCTTATAACTGACAGATGCTATACTTTCTTTTTACCTTGCCAAGTATAATCCAGCATGTATCATGAGCACTGCATATACTTAAGCTTAATAGTCTCTGAGGTTAATTATTAAAATAAAAACTTTCACAGCACTGGTATGTAGCAGGTTTTTATTAGAAATGAACACAAAATTAAAAGCAGTGGTATAAAAACACAGATTATGCTATAATTTTCATTTGCTAGGGATATGTTGGTATATTTCTTAATTTTGCTTTAATATTTATGCATAAACACCTTGTCTAACAGAGAGAAAGCCCCTGTTCTGTTGCTCTTTGTCTATTAGCTCCTTATAACATTCAAGTCTTTCAAGGTCTCAGCATTATTGTCAAAAATGAGGCAACGTTAAGGCATTTCAAAACCTAGACTTAAGTTAAAACTGCAGTCATGTTTCATTATGACGGGTCTACTGTGGATTTTAATTGTCCCCCTGGAACTGATAAACACTGATCTCCATCCAATGCATGTCATCGTGACGTATGTTCCTGTCTGCAAGTGCATTCAGACAATGTGGCATTCAAGATTTAATAAAATGCATCTCCTCACATCTCTCTACATGCAAAGCTGAATAGAGACATGCTGTTTTGTACATTGTATCAAGTAGTACAGGTTTCTGCATGGCACAGGCTTTGAGTGAACTTTTAGAGCCTCCGTTAGTGCCTTTGTAGGTGCATCTACGTGCTGTAGAAGGCATCGTGTAAAAGTGTCTCAGACTTGACAGAGGTTGTAGCAGGGCACGGGTTTCTCCAGCACGTTGTCTCCATCCACTTCAAACACATAATCGCAGCGATGTGTGATCAGCGGAGCATCAGACAGTGCCACGCTCTGATTGCCAAAGGAGATTACTGTGTCTCTCTGTAGGGAAGATGACAGCGGTAGGTCTACAGTTAGTTCAAAGGTAGGAGGTGTTGGGGAGGACTGATGTGTTTTCATTTCCCATTGCCAAGTTTGACATTATATTTGATTTGTAGTTCAAAATAATTACAGCATGTACCTTACCTAGGTACTTATGGACCAAGGTTTCTCTATTGAAGGGCAGGTGGTTTAGCACCAGCCGCTTCTCCAGCTCTTTAAAGCTCACTTTCTCTTAATTGGCTGCCCCTCATAAACAAAGGGATGAACAGCAGGTGGGTGGGCCTTCTGTCCTCAGCAGAACTGCTTATATACCAGAGCTTCTAAGACCTTATCATGTGGCCGGCCTCTCCGATTGTCTAACGGGGTCTCCTAACTGTTCCAGGCTCTGATTTTAAAACCAGAGGTGATCATTGTTTATTCCGTCCAAACTGAACCAGATTTCTCAGTCAATCAGATCAGCTGACTCTGTTATTTCTTTCAAACGATTGCTGAAAACTCGATTTTTTTGTTTGCTTAATCTTTCCCCCTTCATTTTTGGCCTTAGTTTGCAACTATTTGCATGTATGTGTGTATGTTGGAATGAATGTATGTCAGTATGGCTGATTATGTGTCTGTATGTATGTTTAAACATGTACACGTATCATCAATATGTGGCTTTATTTAAACTGCACTTTGTAACTCTGTGTTTTTAAAAGTGCTATACAAATTGTTGTTGTTATTATTTAAGGATAAATACCTGCAAACTGAGGTTGCAGACTCTTGTTTCTAGTTCATTAACTATATACAGGATTGGATTTTGGGAGAATTTTTGAAATCATTCATTTATGTGAACTTTGATATATACTAACAGAAACGGTCCTTACCCGTTCTTTATTGGCTACAGCAGCAGAAGCAGCGGTTGCTGATTTATCAAAGTCCTTCTTGCATATATGAGCCATAATCCCAGCAGCTAAGGCATCACCCAGAACATTGATCATTGTCCTGAATCGATCACTGATGAAATGAGAGGGGAAAAGTTCATCACAAATTGACCAATTTAGCTAAATAGTAAGACTTACTTAAAGATAATAACTTTTGTGGGACTTACAGCACCCAGTCAATGGCTACAATCAAGGAGATGTCAGCAGGTGGTAAACCCACAGAGGTCAGGACAATCACCATTGTAACCAAACCCGCTTGAGGTATCCCAGCTGCTCCAATGCTGGCTGCGGTTGCTGTTATACTGATGAGACAGAGGAAAAGATGTTAGGGAAACAGATTTTCAACACAAGGAACTTCTCAGGGGAGCATCTGTTCTCAGTATTTATTCTCACCTGATAGTGACCAGCTGGCCAAAGTCCAAGTCATACTCGTTGACTTGAGCTATGAAGATGGCTGCCACTGCTTCATACAGGGCTGTTCCATCCATGTTGATAGTGGCTCCCACTGGAAGCACAAATCGAGCAATTTGCCGGTCAACTCCACAGTTCTCCAGGAGACACTTCATAGTGATTGGCAGCGTGGCTGAGCTGCAAAGAAAGAAATCAGAGGATATAAAAGGATGTCAGGTTAGTCAGCAGACTTCAATCTGAACCAAGGACTGGTAAAATGTCCTAGTTAGAAATGTAGAAAGATCTACATTGGTGGGATATAACACATAAAAATGTCTGTTTTCTCTTACCTTGAAGATGTAGCCAGTGCAATGACAAGAGCCTGCAGCAGCCCTCTGATGAAGGTGAATGGATTTTTGCGGGTAAAGAAGAAATAAAAGAGAGGCAGCAGGATGAGGCCATGCACGAAGAGACCACACAGGACAGTGATGAAGTACATGCCCAGCTTCTCCCCCAGATGGGCTGGGTCGTGCATGTCCAGGATCTTTCCTGCCACCAGGAACACAATGCCGAAGGGAAAATACCTTCAAAGAAGAGAAGATAGATAGATTCATTTTCTTACCATGTTGACTCCTGAAAATATATGAAAGTTTTTTTGTTTCTTTCTGAGTGTGTGTCCCTACAGGAAAGGATTTCCATCCTGACCTTAACCCCAAACAACTCCATTGGGATTATTTGAGACATCAACTGTGATCCAGCATCAGTTTGCTGACCTCACTAATGCTCTTCTGTCTGAATGGGAATAAATCCCATGCTGTATGCTGCCAGGCATCAGAAGAGTGCCAGCTGTTATAGCAGCAGGCTGAAGCTCATAGACGTGACTTTACATGTTCAAAATCACATATTGTACACATGGATACAATCAGTCTTTGAAGCTCCAAGTTTTTTTCTGACGTACATGCATGGTGCCTGTGAGTTGCCTGATGTATTTACCTATGAGTTTGTAGCACTAATTTTATATAGAAAGAGTCCTCTTTGCTCCATTCATATAACTGTATTTCAAGTGTCAACTCATTTCCAATGAGAAGCTTTGAGGTCACTTTAGATACACCACTGAGTTTTCCTCGAATCGCCATGAGATCTATTTTTGGATGTAATCTGGCTCTGCTGTGTGAACTTTGTGTAGTCTGTCTTTTATTGGATGCATGTGCGTGATACAGTAGCGTGTATCTGTGTGTGTGACAGAAAAAGAAACAGGGAGACAGAGAGAGTGCAGCCTTACCACATAGCAGCATTGATGATCTTCATGACACACTCGTTGATGCACTGGCACACATTGACGAGTGGTGTGCCACGTTCCCCCATTTTCCCCAGCAGCAGACCTGAGAACAGATAACACAGTCGCATGGTTATTTGTTAATAGTTGTGGTGCAACCTTCTTATCCCGATAAAGAAAAAAAGACTTTACAAAATTTAACTAACTGCATAGTAGTTAGTTGGTTAGTCATATAAATAAGCTATAAGGCAGAGCAGCTCTTGCTTTGCTGACATTGCTAATAAATCTCAAATTTTTAGCTCCTTTTAGTGAGTCTCCATGATCTGTGAGAGTACAATATATCAATTAGAAAATACTGTACTTTTTATTCCACTTCAGGTATTCAATATTATGATCAGAACTTCAGTACTTTTCAGACAAAGTTGTAAAAAACATAAATACCACAATGCATTGCTGCAAATTAAAACTAGTCTACAAAATCTTTTGCTTGTGCCACATTGCAAAATAAAGATTTTTTTTAAAACCACACCTTCTTGTGCCCTTTCAGATGTTCAGATCCAATATTATGCACTTAGTGGATATAATTTACTTGTTCAACACATCCTTTTTTATTTCTTTTTTTACTGTTGTATTAAACTTCCCATAACTTATTTTCCTTTATAGAGAGAACTATGCAACTGAACTGTGTAAAGTAATTTTACTTTCTCTGCATATATGACATCGGCCAATGCATCGTCACATTTATTTTTGAAACTTTAAGCACATTATGCTGATAATAGAGACATTGCTTCTGATATCAAAAGTCATTAGTTTATCACTTTTGAAATGGAGACATGTGGAGAGATGGCATGAGACAGTCTGCCAGTGCAAAAGTTGTTATGTCCTGTAATATAACCAATGCAATAATGTATCTATGCATTTGCATGGTCAGCATGTAACTTGTTTATGATCTTGAATAGGCTGGCTTATTTTAAAATCCCATGGTTATTGTTATATAAAACATTAAAGTTGAATGGTGATTGTCTTACCCATTGTAGCTGAGAAGATGACAATCCCCAATACATTCATGCCTTTGCTTGTACTTGGGACAATCTTATACTTGATGTCAGGTGCAGGGGTGATCTCCAGGAAGACTGGATGACCCAGGCGAGGGTTGTGGTAATCGGGCATGACGTATACATAGTTGGCCTGAGACACTTTTGCGTCATTGTTCTGTACAATGGGTACCAAATCTGTCCGATACTGGCACGAAATGAAAGAACAACCATATAGATCTTTTACTACGGGCATCTTGAAATTTGAATATTTGAAATTTGAATAATATTGCGCAGTTCTCAATCAGTAACTCCATGTTGTCGACTCACCTGCTGAAAAGTTGCTTCAATCAGGTTTGATGGGATCATGTTCCTGCAATGTACAATAAAAAGAAAGAAGCCATATGATCACATGTGTAGGATGATATACAGTTCAACTGATGGCAACTAGATCATTTACTTGTGTGTGACAGATTCTGAAATGATGGTCAGCACTTATTGTTGACCTTAAAAACAATAATGGGTTGTGTTAGACACCAAATAAGCACAGATGAGAAGTGCTTGGATTGCTCGGGTAAAAGAAAAAAGCTTGCCGCAGGTGATTTTCTATAATTCTTTTACAACTGGCCTCATTTATGCATCTACTGGTAAATAGCATGAAAAGCTAGATACTAAATGTGTGTGGTGAGACAGCTTTTTTGAGTTTTTAAATATTTTAATCTTATGTTTGAAGAAAGTATGTACTGTTTGTGATGGTTTTGAGGGTGAACAACATATTAAAAACAAATTGTTAGTATTTTTTCAGTATAACTATTCGGATGCACAAATACAGTTTTTCACAGTAGAAATCTTCAGAAGCTTAAAATGTAAAAATATGCAATGGGTATGTAAATAATTAGGCTCAAATCATCAATTAAAAAGTGTCATGGTGTTCAGTTATTGAACATTTAGACTTTGTTATAATAATATCAATGATTAACCAGCAATTATACTGTAAACCTTATAAATCACAGTCTCACTTTTGTTTACAGTAGGAAGTTCTTGTAGATGGTGAATCTAACTGCTAGTACTAGAAATGAAATTGCATATTTTGCATCATTTTGTAAAATAGATCAACTTTAAAATGAGCCAGTAGAATATAAAAAGCACCTCGAGTGGCTTGAACAGTACTGCCATTTCTCAATTCTCTTGCTTCTGGAGTATGTTAACTTTTGATACTTCCATTTATTCTTACAATAATAAGTTTTACATAGCTGATATTTATTTGGCCCACTACTTGTACTCATATGTCATCATATACCGTAAATGTCTCCAGTGGCCGAACTCATTAAAGTAGAATAGTTTCCTAGATTTAATGAGTTTTTATAAGAATAGTGAGAAAAACACAGGTTACGTTTTCACACAGTATAACAGCACAGAGAGTTTCACATGTTAAGGTTGATGGAAGCTGAACAGGTAGAGCCAGCATCATCAGACTGTTTTTATTCAACCTGCGTCAGTGACACTGGCACCAAACACATAAGACGACTGAAATGCGCACCTCACCACAGCTCTCCAGTTTAATCTCATTTAAGAATAAGTGGATCTTTGACATGAATGGCCCGTCAATAAGCCTGAGCCTGTACAGGAGTACAGGTTCAATCTAACAAAGTGACTCTGCAGTAGGATCTTCTGAGAAAGTGTCAGCTTAAAGAGTCACAATTAACTCTTTCCCTATTCTTAGTTAAACTGCTGCAAGGGTAGTGACATTGCAACAATGCTACAAGGATTTTAAAGGATGATGTTAAAGCTTATCATTTAAATTCTGTGTTAAAAATCTCTCCACTGTTGCCAGAAACAGTTTAATATCAAATGTAAATTATTGTTTTGATGAATACAGATTTCTGCAAAGCTCTCATGTCTTTCTGGAAATCTAACCTATTTGAGGAGATTTTGTGATTGACCAAACCTGAATGAGGGTTTTTCTGCATATTAATAAAGTACTGCTTGTGGGAAATATGATTTTCCAAATAATACCAAATTAAGTCGTTTTCTACTTATTTGTGTATTTATTTATTTTAGTTTGAGATTAATTAAGGAATATGAAACAGATATAAGAGAGATCACTTTACCGGGAGCTCTAAAAGCTGATCTTGTGAAATGCTCTATTAAAACATATATATATCTATATATCTATCTATCTATATATCTATATATATATATCTATATATATATATATATATAGATATATATATTTACTGAAAAAGTAATGTCCTGATTCAGTGAAAAATCTTATAATTCGTTAGATAATCTCTGGTGCCACTGTAGAGATGATATGTTTGAACGCCAGATATGGCATGGTTTGCTATGAATAGTAGTGTGAATAGATGAAAGACTGAAATCTTTTGTTTCTGTGTGAATGTTAACCTGATGAGGTCCAGCAGAGCATCAGCGGAGGTCATAACAGGCCCTGAATGTGAATGGTGACTGTCTTTTTCAGAGCCGGTCCCTGGGTGAACGATGATAACCAGCACGATACCAACGATGACAGCAATGAAGGTCGTCCACAGGTAATAAGTGATGGTCAGGACTCCCAGACGACCGCTTGCCTTGGTGTCCATGGCTGACAGGCCAGACATAAGACTGGATAGGAAAGTAGAAGAGGAGTGATTATGGATGTTGGCTTTACGAAAGACTGGAACTGAAGTAGATTTGAATTAGTTGTTTGTTTTTCTAAGGCTGCAGATTTTCAATAGATGTAGTGACATTTAACTGGTGGTGTTCAAACTGAAGTGGAGCAATAGGAAATATGACATCCAACACATGTCCCAGACCAAATTCAAAGCCAGCATCTCAGCTCTTGAATGACTGTACCATTAATCTTTGTGACCAGGACATTCCACACCTCTAAATTCTGTAAAAATATTTCCTTCAAATATATATTTGATTTAAAAATCAAAGCTATCGTTTACCTGGAGGTGATAAGTGGGAGAATCAACATCTTCAACATCCTCATCAGCAGTTCTCCAGGGAATGAGAAGTAGATCTTGGCCTGTTAAAGACAGGAACAGTTAAGCTTTGGACTTGTTTTTGGGGTTTTTTTGTTTGTTTG